TATATGGATCGGACTGCATGTCGCAGCGATATATATATATATATATATATTGGATTGGGTTGCACGCCGTAGCGATATGGCGCTTGGGCTGTTGGAGCTCCTCCGGAGTCTGTACACCTCCAGTGAGCGTAGTCGACTATAAACTATGAATCAGGCTGCACGCCGCAACAGTTACTATGATTATTACTATTATGAGAATTTAATGAGCCTCAGTACTGAGTGTGAGTACTGAGTGGCGAGAGTTGAGTCACAAGTGACTGAGAGGCTGCCCAAGAGGCCATATTCTGAGTGAGATCTTGCCCGAGGGGATCATTTATGATATTTTCACTGCTTTCACTCATCTTTTAAAAATAAGTCTCTGTTGATGAATTGCTAAGTAAATGATTTCAAGTATTCCAAATGAAACTGGAGATTTTATGACGAAACTGGTTTTAAACTGTAGAGTTTGATTTGTCATCCTGTTGTTTACTCCTTTATATGATTTTAACTGCTCGTCACTACTTTCATACCTTATTTACTTTAGTTACTTACTGAGTTGGCGTACTCACGTTACTCCCTGCACCTTATATGCAGATCTAGGTGCCCGAGCGGCAGAGTAAGGGTCCTTAGATTATCCAGAGTTTACCGGAGATTGCAAGGTAGCTGCATGACGTCCGTAGCCCTGCTTTCTTCCTATATCCTTGTTTTTCCACATTTTAGGCTTGTTTTGTATCAGATAGTCAGATTTGTATATGTTAGAGGCTCTAGACTTGTGACACCAGATGTTTGGGCTGTGTTGGTTTAACATTGTATTGATTTCTGCACCTTTTGGTTGTTTATGCACTTCTTATGAAAGATGGAGGTTTTAAGCTGGAGTTAGAAATATGGTTTTATAAAAGGAATTTGTTGTAGTTAATGATTTGGGTTGGCTTACCTAGTAATGTGATAGGCGCCATTGTCGCACCTCCTTTTCACCGCGCCCCGCAGGGCGCGTGGGGAGTTTTCTCCAATTGAAGGACAGTCGAAACGGGATTTATTTAAT